GTTTTTAGATAAAGACAATGACTTATCCATTTCTTTATGCTGGCAAGAAGTCGCAACTCTTTTCAATACAAAGCAAATTAAAATTATAAAAATATTCATACATAATTTTCTGTGTAAATTTTTAACTAACAAGATTCTCAACAATTTTAAATTAATTATTAATTATTAATGTTAAATTAGTAAAATTATTATATTTCTTCATTTACATATTCTTTATATTGCATATTCAAATTTATGTCAAATTTTTAACCATTTTATTATGATTATTCATTCTGCTGCTTATGAAAACTAATATAAGTTCTATAATTCATTAATTAGAAAGTTACGTCTATTAGTCAAAATATTATTCTTCCGTAACCTATTTTGCCTATCGATATCATGATAATAACAAAATTTCGTTATTTATTTTAATATAAATCTTTAATATTTCATGACAATTTAATGAAAAATACAAACATATCTACGAAATATATCCTTATATATTTCCCAAAATGGACCAATGTTGAATGTGTTTACAAATTTAGTACAGAGGGACGCATTAAATATAAAATCAGGAAAAGGATTTTTAATGAACAATTATTTTTAATTGTTTTTAATTTCTTTCATTATTGTTTTTAACAAAATTTCTTATTTCTTGAAATAGATATTAATTTATTTTTTATAGAACAGTATAACAAATAAATAAGTAGTACAGATTTTCTTATTTTTAAAATGTTTTCTTTTTCATTTTGATTGTTTATCAAATATTCGAAGACAATTTAACTTTCATTAATCAAAGGAATAACACACTTCCAATCATTGATAAAGCCAAATTTTCATGAATTTTGACTAATTTTTCCAAAACGATTGCATGAAACTTGAACGAATTTTAACAAAAGAAATAGAAGAAATGATACTATGTTATATTTATACGCAGCATGACTTTCTTTCATTTTAGTTCTCCGCATGAATTTAATCATCAGAACTGAAACATACGTCACGAAATTGCTTGTAGGCTACAAAACAAAACGTATAACAGG